GCACATTCACATGAAAATTACTCTGAATTAAAAACAGTGATCATTTGGTGTCAGTATGGAATAATTTCATATTTAAAGAATTTTCAGAAGTTGGAATTCTGTAAATGACCGGACTTTTCCCTTAAAATGCTCCATAAAGGGCTCCGTCAGTGAGGGGCTCCCAGATGAAGGGTAAAGCTGTCAACCAAACTAATGCACGGCGCTGAGCTTCACCAATTAACAAATGGAAAAACTATTAGAATGGTAAACGTTTGCGGAGGAAAGAAGTGTGGAAGTGATTTATCGAGCTCCAGGTTTTAACAGGATGATTCATTCAGAGAGACGCTGTGAGTTAGAGTCGGGGAGGAGGAGGGAGTTTAGCTGCAGGAGGTCATAAATCCTCGGCATCGTTCCGTTTGAACGGCGAGGAATGATGGCCCCAGTGAGAGAAAAGGACCAACCCCTCAGAGGCGCTGTTATCATCATCATCATCATCATGGCAGTGCTGAATGTTTGTCCGGATCGTTAGTCTGCCCTCCCTCAGAGCGTCAGACACCTGCTGCGCCTTGTTTGGATGCTCAGGAACCGCGCCCTGCTGGCTCTCTCTTCCTGTAGCTCTTCTGAGACTCCGCCCCCTTCCATCTGCATGTTTCCATTGTTGACCCCGTCAGTGCTCCATCTGGGCCCAACTCATCTCCGTCTGTGCTCCCAACAAGCGCCGCCTTCGCAGATCACTGCCGGGACCTTCTCTGCTCCTCCCTTCTGAGTCAGGAATGGGCCCTGAGCCGCCCCGTCTTACCGATGCATTGCCAGCAAACCTCTAACCCGCCTTAGGGAGGTTATTATTGGTGCTAAAGCACGGAAGCGCCTGCGTTTATGAAGCCGCCGTTAGCAGGTCCCACGCCAGGATTGATTACACTCTGGGGGGGAAAGGTTCAGCTGCATGCGTGAGCTGATAAACGCTCTGAGATGTGGGAGAACAATGACACAAGAATCAGGATCATCTTTGCTGTCATTATGACACAGGAGGCAAACATGATAAGCAGACAAAATAAAAAAAGCGTTCCTGAAGGCGGGCCAGGGGACAATGTCTGCGTTTCATAAAGCAGTTATACTGAGTTTATTTACCAGCCTGAACTAGACTTAATTGATCTTATGTGAGGAACATTTGGGCAGAAACGCTTAAGGAAAACCAGTTGGTTGCATCGACTCAATGACTCTTCAGCAATCCCTCACACTAAGCATGCATGTAGGGACAGTAGAGAGGAACAACCCCCTTTTAACAGGAAGAAACCTCCAGCAGAACCAGGCTCAGTGTGAGCGGCCATCTGCTGAGGCTGACTGGGGTTCAAGGAGACGGAAGCAGACAGAAAATGGAGCATAGATACAAACACACAGCCAGGTAGACGAGCTCCGAGCCAGCTCCCATGTCAGAGGATGAAGAGAGCACATCCAGTTAATCACAATCAGAGAAACAGGACTACACTGAAAAACAGGCCAAGCTCCAACATCTAGAAACATTCCAGCTCCATGTTGCTCCAATGACACAGTGAGACGTTCTTTGTGTCAGGGATGTAGCCGTTAATGTTTCTCTGCAGCACAGGGGCCTATGAGATGGATCACAGGGGGATCGATGGCAGTTTTTCTGGTTAGCAGAGCGGAGAGCGTTGCTGAAGTTTGCTGGTGAAGATTCTCAGTCATCCAGGTCACAGTCATTCCAAAAAAGTTAAAAAATCAATCCACTGGACTTTGTTTCCAAGTTTAAAGACGTTTCTCTTCCATCCAGGAAGCTTTTTCAATTCAAAGCGTCAGAAATAGCGCTGAGTTCCAGGTTTTATCCAGTAGCCCAACAAATCCTTGATTTGGTTTGAAAATTAAATCACTATTTTAATAAAAATTTAATAATCAATTTATGTATATATTAGTAATTGTAAATATCAATTTTATGCAGTATTATTGTTGGTAAAAGTAGGTAGGTAATGACAAAGGAAGAGATGTTTGCCCCAGAACTCATACCTGAAACAAGTGTTTTCACTATACCTTTAATCTAGAAAGCGCGGATATTTAAATATATGTTTCTATTTGTTAGCAAAGGCTGTAGCAAAGTATAGTTTTTTTCTTTATTTAGAAAATATGAATGTTTTGCTCGTTAATTTTCCTGTCGCAATAGTGTAGATTGACCCTGAGGTTCTGGCGCCTATCCACTTTCGGCCACCCCTCTGTGTGCATTGGTTATTGCCTGGACGCCCTTATAAAAAATATCTAGCTAAAACTCTGTTTGACAGGAGCTTAAGGAACAAGGGCATGAAAATGTTTAACAGAGCTGGTTGATTTTCAGCTGGTCTGGGTGGGTGGTTGGATTTTGAACGTGGAGGAAACTTGTTCTTCCAGGGGGGTATGATGCGAGTTTTGTCCACAGGGGGGAGCTGCTGTGCAGACGAAGCTGCTCCAGGCTCTTTTAGCGCTGGATTTCACGCTTCTGTCACAGGAGCCATGCTTACATCTCCATGCCTCTGTTTACAGGCAGAAAGGGAAGAAGCCGTTCCGATCCCTTCGGAATCTGAAGACGGACCTGGATCTAAAGCTGGAGGGAGACCTGAACATCATCATGGCGCTGGCAGAGAAGCTGAGGGCGGGGCTTCACTCCTTCGTGTTCGGGAAGCCGTTCTACACCAGCGTTCAGGAGCGAGATGCTCTCATGAGCTTTTAACTCGTTTAAAGTGTTCTCCTGTTCCAGACCTGATCTCTGTGTCGGATCACAGGAAGAACTCATCCTCACTGATTCACTGAGTTAGTAAAGTTACCTTTATGCTTAAAAAAAAAGACTGATTTGTTTTATTCCCGAACCTTTTCTGTGTCTGAAACAACCAGTTACGTTTTAATCGTTATGTTTTAATCACCAATTTTTTTTATTTTGATATGAAATTATAATGAATTATGTAAAAATGGATGAGTTATTAAACATTTGTGCTCAATGTAGATGTTGTCTGGTGATTTAACTGGATTTTAAAAACAGCAGATCTGTTGTGCTGGAGAAGGCTAGTGATTATTTTGACTCTCTGCACCTCTGATTGTAGGGATGCACGATATTGGGATTTTGGCCGATATCCGATATGCCGATATTTTAAACCTCATGTAGCCGATAACC